TTCAGCATGCTGGTGTTCTGCAGTGTCTGGGTGACCTTCCTCCCTGTCTACCACAGCACTCAGGGCAAGGTCATGGTGGCTGTGGAGATCTTCTCCATGTTGGCCTCCAGCGTGGGGCTTCTAGGCTACATCTTTCCCCCAAAGTGCTATGTTATCTTTCTACATCCAGATAAGAACACATCAAAAAGGTTAAAGAGTAAAACATATTTGAGGGGGAAATTATCTATTTATTTGTTTGTTTTTTATATTTATAAAAATATATTTTATATTTATAAAATATATTTCTCCCATATATTTTGGGAGAAAGAATTAGTGTAAGCTAGCTTAATAAACTACCACATGCTCAGAGCCAGATTTAATGTCATTATGGCATGTCTTGAATTTTGCTTTGTACATTGGTGTTAGGTGCTTTGGTGGTAGAAAAAGGAGAGTTTCTATTCCCATAAAGAGTTACTGGAGTACCCCTGTTAGTGGGTTACAAAGAGTTACAGTCTTGGGAACCCACAGAGGTCATTATTCTGCTCAGTGTTTTCAGGTATCTGTGGGTGATAATTAATTAGATGGCACTTCCTTAGTTGCTTCAGAATCAGTTCCTGCCCAAGGCCACCCTGTGTATGACAGGAAACATAAAGCTAACGTCTCCTGTATTGGCCTCATGGTTGTTTTAGCATTGCAGCCCATCCATGAACCACTGTGTTTGTCCATCCGGTTAAGGATCTCTCTTTTTTTCTTGACACTTTGCTTTACCAAACATGATGTCTGCTCCAAAAGATGGGTCCCTCTTGATTACAGGTCCCAAGTACATGAGATCAAGTCCTACCATCCTCACAGAGCTTTCTCAATGTAATTATTCAAAGTCAGATTTACTAGTTCTTCTGATAGTCCATGGTTTCCTTAGTACTGCTCTCCAACCCCATCATTCAAATGCATTCATTCTTGTATAAAAATTTTAATTGTGAATTAGATGGAGTTTATATAGAAAATCATCATATTTGGCATGAAAAAGTTACTCAATATATCAAACCTCTCAAATCACGCCTTGTTCCCCTCCTCTCCTTTTCCCCCCACCTACCTTTGGTCGTAAATTATCTCTCCCGTCCCCTACGTTAACACCTTTCCACCCTCTAACCTACTACTTCACCTCCTCTTCGTTCTCCTCCATCCCTTTGTAACCATCAAAGTCGCATGTTTGCTTTTGTGTGTGTGGCAGGTACATAATCTCCTGTCGACTTGAGGGAAGGGGTGGAGTCTAGCCTGTCATCAGGTCATAGCCAATGAAGCCTGTGTGTGGGCAAGGCCTTCTCCTGAGAGTTCTTAGTAATCCTGTCTTCCTCCCTGGAAGCAAGACACACACTGTCTACCTTCTCTTTTCTACTCTTGCATCACTTAGAGAGCTGGAGGAGACCCATGAGACCCATGCCAGTCTTGAGATGCTTCCACTGCCACTGGATCCACAAGAATTTCCACCCACTGGCCTGAGATCTTCCTGCATTCCTTACCATTGCATGCACTGTGTGAGTCTAAACAAGAATTTATGGACTAGTATGAGACCTATGGACTAATACTGGATTATGGACATGAACTGGACTGGTCTGGGGTGTTTTCTCATTATATAATTCCTCTTTTATATAAAGCCCTTTATACATGTATGAGTGTCAATGAATTTGTTTCTCTGGTCAATCCAGACTAACATATTTTATATGATATTCTTGCCTTGATTTTTTTTGAAAGCGTGACAGTGAGTCCATAAAGTATTTGTACTTTTGTGATTGAATAACTCCACTCCACACAATGCCCTACAAATTCATCCAGGTCATGAGATGCTTCACCATTATTCTTTAATGATGCATCGTATCCATTGTGTGTGCAATAGAATGTACCATGATTTAGGTCAGATACATGTTAGTGCTCAAATTAACATCCTTGCTTTCTAAGAATCTAAAGAAGTCTTGTGCAGCAGATTTACCCAGTGCAACGAATCCTCTACCCTGCCAAATGATGTATTAAGATGGAAAGAGAGATAAGTGTCTTCCGGGACAAGGAAAAACTCAAAGAATATGCTGTAAAACCCCGAACCCTGCAGAAGATCCTGGCCGACTCATTACGGTCAGAAGACCAACATCCACCAAGCACAAGCAGGAGACCACCATG